TTTATTAACTGAAATTATTTTCCAAAGGCAACAGTACTCTGTCCACAATTCGTGGCTATTTGGATGTTATAATTCCATATAAAACACACATATGGGGAAATGCAGGGAAACTACATCTATTCCATCTGTGACAAATGACCACTGTTTAGACCAATATAACGCATTCTTGCTTTTTCATAAACTGGAAGCATGATTACAAACAAGATGTGGTATCAGTTTGCATTCAAGTGATGGAAAGCACCACAGAGATCTGTAATGCAGTAACTGATGATGGGTTAATCTGATACAATATGCAAAATACACCCCCATTCTATCTTCACGTGGGCAGATTGTACGGTCCAGGAGACACTTCTCTTGGTTTTTGAGCATCTGTTTGGTGATTTCCATTCACCTAGATGTTTGTGTATTCCAAAAACCAGTTGCCGTGAATAAAATGGTAACGCTACACCAACCTGTCATTTAATATTGAGGGACCGTTATGCTACACTAATCATTCACAATTGGATTTTCACATGTAGACAAGGCAACCCAGTTGCAATTATAATATTCATCAATGCACGAATGCAGCCATTGTCTAGCCATGCGTTAAGAGATTTAGTTGGACCAGACTGCTATAACCATTTCTAAGCCCTTCTGACATTACTGGTTTCATTCAAAATTTTAGTATGTTGATGCCAATGGAAGATCATGAAAAATATTGCACATGGGAGAAAAGAGGGGGCACAGGAAGGCAGGTGACTTTTTTTGATGAATTATACTAGCATGTTCTATTGCCAGAATAAAGTTATGTCTCCCAACTGTGCTTGATGGACCCACACATCTTGAGCCTTAGCAATTCCATTTATGTTACATACAGCTAGAACATAGTTTCCTTGGCATGCTGTCATACATTGAGGCAATGGATCTGTTTTTCTGATTTTGTAAGAAATCGGGATACCATCACATATGGAAGTGACAACACCCGAGATTCAGAAAACCATAGTGAGGGGTCATAATTCTGTCTCCTGCAACGTGTGGTCATTTACATTAGCCTTACAGCAGGGTTTAAACCTGATTGCTCTGCGGACTATTCTTCTGCCTCACCTGCCTCTGGGGGCCCTTGCCGTTTCTTCAGATCCACTGCCACATGGGAGGCCCCTTGAAATCCCTTCCCATTCCTACACAGCTGCACTGAACGTTGAGTCTTGTAGGTCGCAGGTAAGCATTGCCAAGCATACACATTCATCCTGCCATTGCAACACGATAGTCGAGACACTATTAGGCCAGGAGGAAAGTTGCTTCAAAGGTTCATTATTTGCTAGTGTTGACTTTTAAAGCCTTGAGAGGTCAGGGACCCACGTACCTTCAGGACTGCCTCCTCCAATATGTCCCCAGAAGAGCACTGAGATTAGCTGATAACAACTTACTGGTGATTCCCCGGCCCTAGGGAGGCCCGTCTGTCCTTGACCAGGGCCTTTTCAGTCCTGGCCCCGACCTGGTGGAACTCTCTGCCACATCACATCAGGGCCCTGCAGGATCTGATGCAATTCCACAGGGCCTGTAAGGCAGAGATGTTCCACCGGGCTTTTGGTTGAGGACAGCAACGGTTAAAACTGGCACCCTTTTTTACTTTTGGCCCAGAGCCCACTTGCGGGGTCGGGTGATTCAGAAATCTAATAAATAAATAATAGAACCACTCCCCTCATGGCTGACTGGCACAGGGGCTCCCTTTCAGGAGCTGGTGAGGCAGGGGGAAATTATAGCAAGATTCAAAGGCAATCTGGATAGACACAACTGCCAATAAGAAAACGTTTTAACAACCTTTCCCGTAGTTACTTGTTTGGTGTAGTGGTTAAGTGCGCAGACTCTAATCTGGGAGAACCAGGTTTGATTCCCCACTCCTCCACTTGCACCTGCTGATGTGACCTTGGGTCAGTCACAAGCCCGTAGTTACTTGTTAAACTGCTGTAATATAGGTGCAGCCTGAAAGAGATGGGCAGAGGCAGATTGCCCCTTTCTATCCCCCCAAAATGGCATGAGAGGGCTGGAGTGTTAACACAGTCCTGGAGGCAGCCATGCCAAGTTGCAGCTGAGGTACAGGCATCGTGGCAGGGGGCACTTGGCTTTGACCCGGGCTGCGGTGACCACCGCAAGAGGTATTTGCTTATCGGCCAAGCTGAGACTCACGGCCATGGTCTCCATGCTCTGCCTTAGCCAACTGGCCCCTGCTGCTCTGCCTGCACCACAGGGGCCACCAGCGATCCCTCCCCAAGCAGCAGTGTCTTGTTATGTTAAGGGGCCAATCTGATCCTGCCAATTTGCGCATTGTATTGAAAGTGGCAGCATATCACATTATAGCAGACATGTATCACTTGAAACCCTTCAGAGGCTGTAATACAAGAATCAGTAGTGAGGTGTAGTATCTTGACCGACAAAGCGCTCAGTATTCTGCTGAACTCTTACATGTGGAAATCTACTTTTTTTGGACTCAGTTTCCCCCCGAACACAAGTTCTCAGAAACAATGGTCATAGCTTCCATGGAATTAGCTCTGTTAACACAATTTCCTCATTTCAGATTTGTAGGTGGTTTCGGACTCTCTGCCTGTTCCACTTTAGAACCCGCAAGGACTCGTAGGCGGTATCTCATTTCCCTGTTATCTCCCTCTTCCCATTATTTCCTATCCCCCTTCGCAGTCACCACAGACTCTTCCCTTTTTCCTTCCCACCCAACTTACCTTTGTATCACAACACACACACACAAGTTTTCAGCTTTCCTTCCGCCTGGCAGCCTCTCCGTGGGAAGCCACTCTGGTGAGTTGTGCAGTGGTGTCCTCCAAGCCAGGCCAAGCTGCACAACTGCACAGTAGTAAGTCACCCAGGTGAGTCACACCATGACGGCTGCCAGGCATAACAAGTTGCACGAGTCACACGGGACATTCACCTGCTGGCCATGGCCGGACCCGGGTTAGTCATGTGGCAGATGCTGGGCCTGGACAAGCTGTGTGGGTTGCATGGTAGTGGTCCCAGCAAGCCCTCCTTCTATCAAGAGCTATGATTGATGTGTGTGTGTGTGGATTTTCAGGGCTCTTCTGGTTTCCTAGTTCACCCTTGCTCCTAACCCATCTTTGATTTACAGAAACCAAGGCCATCACTGTTGTAGGCGCCTAGCAACCCTCAAAATGGCCACTGAGATCTCAGAATACAGTCTCATGAGAGCTCAATGGGCATTAATTTCTTAGAGCTCGAGCTGTTTTCCCCTTACTGGGGAGAATGTTAATCCTCAAATATATTTTTTTCATCTGCAAACCTTGGGCTTCCTTCAGATTTGTAAAGAAATTCCTCCCTGCCTCAATTGTGTGGATTTTTAAATCCACATTCTATTGCCTGGTTGGGAATTAACTGTATGATATGCAAAATCACTGAGACAGACTCCCCCTGGTTGCAAACATGTAGTTCTAGTTTCTCTCAGACAAGCTAGTACAGCTCTAAAACTGAATTTTGTACACTGTACAGGAGACAATTTAGGCAGAACAGGAAATGACTGCATACATCTGCTACTTCACTACCTCAAGCCACTATTCGCTTCTATTACTTGAAATGTAAAAGCCAGTCTGTTGGGATTTTTTTTACATGCTTGCCATGTGTAGCTGGACTCTTAACACCTTCATGAAAACAAACTTCAGCAAAACTTTTCCCAGAGCAGCATGCCCTTCCTTACCTTGCCACCTGTTCTTGTTTCACCACAACCAACCAATCTTTTACCTTCTTGAGCAACCTTTACACCTGCATGTTGTTTGCACTAAACAGTGATAGTACTCACAGCAGCACCCGATGCTGGTCATCATAACTAGGATATTTGTTTGCAAACGATATAGATTGATGCATAGTATGCAATCAGATATTTTTGCTTCCACATGAAACATAATATTTCTTTAATATATTTAGTCACCTAACAGTTGCATAACAATTATGCTGATGTGCCATATGACCTTAGTTCATACCTCCTGTCACTCCACAACTGAAAGGCTGTAACACTTTATATCGCATATTACTTCCTTACACAGCAGGAGCCTGTGTATGTACCTTGGGAAGATGCCAGCTCTTGTTTCTAGCAAAACTCTGCAGACATACAACCAAACATTTCTCATTTCTGACAGAAGCGCAATCATATTCACGGAATGCCGCCATAGGGAAACAACCGGG